TGGGAAGGTATGTAGTTTAATAATTGATGGCGGGAGCTGTACTAATGTTGCTAGTACAAAAATGGTGGAGAAGCTAGGCCTTGAGCACACAAATCCATCCTACACCATATGCATTGCAGTGGTTAAACAAGGCGGGGGATATCAAGGTGAATCAACAAGTTTTGATTCTGATCAAGTTGGGACATTATGAAGATGAGATCCTTTGTGACATAGTGCCCATGGACGCTGCTCACATTCTTCTAGGGAGGTTGTGGCAGTTTGATATGAAGGTGTTCCATGATGGTTATTATAACAAGTACATGTTCGAGCACCGAGGCAAGAAGATCACCTTAACCCCAATGACTCCGCGACAAATTCACGATGACCTTCAGAAAATGAGGGAAAGAGAGAAAAATGAGAAAAGAATTGAAAAAATAGTGAACAGAGTGTTGAAAAAGAGAGTGGAAGGAAAAGAGAGAAAAATAAAAGTGAGGACAAAGAAAAAACAAAGAAAAATTTCATTGGAAAAAGAGAGATATTGAAAAAGCAATAAGAGCGGGGAGGCAAGTTTTTCTTTGTTGTATAAAGGACCCAACGAGGGTACTACTAATCCTAGTCATTTGCCCGAGGCAATGACTTCTTTAATGCAGGAATTCAAAGATGTTTGTCCGGAGGAACTTCCTGCCGGTTTACCACCGTTGAGGGGATTGAACACCAAATTGACTTGGTGCGGGAATGCCATTACCGAATAGGCCTGCCTACCGATGTAACCCGGAGGAGACTAAGGAAATCCAAAAGCAAGTTAATGAACTCTTGGCCAAAGGGCAAATCCGGGAAAGCCTAAGCCCGTGTGTCGTTCCTGTTTTGCTAGTACCCAAAAAAGATGGGTCATGGCGAATGTGAGTTGATTGTCGCACAATTAACAAAATAACTGTCAAATATCATTTCCCTATACCCCGTTTAGATGACATGCTTGATGAATTATTTGGTGCTTGTTATTTTTCTAAGATTGATTTGCGTTCTGGGTATCATCAAATAAGAATTAAGGAAGGGGACGAATGGAAAACAGCCTTCAAGACTAAACAGGGTCTATATGAATGGCTTGTTATGCCGTTCGGCCTGACTAACACACCTAGTACCTTTATGAGACTCATGAACGAAGTTTTACGAGATTTCATTGGGAAAAGTGTTGTTGTTTATTTTGATGACATATTTATAGCAAGAGTCTTAATGAGCATGTTAGACATCTTAGGGAAGTGTTTTCTTCTTTGAGGAAATATAAACTGTATGCTAATCTAAAAAAATGTGAGTTTTGCACTTCGTCGGTACATTTCCTTGGCTATATTGTCAATGCCAACGGGATTGAGGCTGGATAGTGCTAAAATTGAGGCTGTCCAGCAATGGCCTACACCGAAAACGGTTAGCGAGGTAAGAAGCTTTCACGGATTAGCGAGCTTTTATCGCCGTTTTGTGAAAGATTTTAGCTCAATTGCTGCACCGCTAACTGAGGTGATTAAAAAGAACGTTGGCTTTGAGTGGGGTGAAAACAAGAGAATGCCTTTAATGAGTTAAAAGAAAGATTGTGTAAGGCACCTATTCTTGCTTTGCCTAATTTTGATGCTGTTTTTGAGATAGATTGTGATGCTTCCGGAGTAGGAATAGGGGCTGTACTAATGCAAGGGGGTAAGCCGTAGCATACTTTAGCGAGAAGTTAAGTGAGGCTTCCCTAAATTATCCTACTTATGACAAAGAGTTCTTTGCTTTAGTGCGTGCTTTAGAGCATTGGGAGCATTACTTGCGTCCGAAAGAGTTTGTTATATATACTGACCATGAATCATTGAAGTATCTAAGAGGTCAGGGTAAACTTAATAAGCGACACGCGAAATGGTTGAATTTATTGAGTCTTTTGCATATTCCATAAATATAAACATGGGAAGGATAAATGTTGTTGCTGATGCTTTGTCTAGGAGATGTGCTTTACTCATGTCTCTACATGCTAGGGTTTTAGGCTTTGAGCATTTGAAAGAACTTTATAACTCTGACATTGATTTTGGAGCAAGTTTTAATGCATGTTTAGAGGGAAAATTTGGTGAGTATCTTTGAATGACGGTTTTTCTGTTCAGGAAAGGCAGGTTATGTATTCCTTCGTGTTCCATGAGACAGCTGCTTCTTAAAGAAGCTCATGGTGGTGGACTCATGGGTCATTTTGGGGTCTTGAAAACTCTCGAGATATTGAAGGACCATTTTATTGGCCAAAATGAAACGTGACGGGCATAGAGTCTGTGATAGTTGTGTTACCTGCAAACAGGCTAAGTCCAAGGTACAACCTCATGGGTTGTATACTCCTTTGCTGTAGCCTCTCATCCATGGGAAGATCTGTCAATGGATTTTGTGTTGGATTGCGGAGAACTGTTCGGGACATGACTCCATTTTTGTTGTTGTTGACAGGTTCTCAAAATGGCGCATTTTATTCCATGCCATAATGACGATGCTAGTAATGTCGCAATTTGTTTTTCAGGGAGATTGTTAGGCTTCATGGAATGCCTAAGTCTATTGTGTCGACAGGGATGTAAAATTTTTAAGTTATTTTTTGGAAGACTCTATGGGGTAAATTGGGCACTAAGCTACTTTTTTCTACTACGTGTCATCCACAAACGGATGGGCAAACTGAAGTAGTGAATCGTACTTTAGTCACTTTGCTTAGAGTTTTTGTGA